GTGCCCCTTATATGTTCGGAACTTCCTCAAGTCTGAAAGACCACTATCAAAGCTTATTCTGGAACCTCGTAAAGGAAAGAAGCCAACCGGCAGCCAGAGGTCCACAGATGTTGTTGCGCCAATTTCCCTCGACAATAGTGCGAGCATTCCTTTCTAACCGACGTACAACCGTACTCGTATCATCTTCCTTTTCTATTCGATCAGATACATCCTTAAAACAACTATTACGAAACGTTTTCATGCACAAGACAGTCTTCTCACGGGTTAGAGTCAGCTTGGTCTTAGGATGAAAAAGTTCCCCCACATATTCATTGGCGCCATGTAATTTACTGCCGACCAATCATTTACATCAAACCAGGTAGGCTTNAAAAAAAAATTGAAAAAATTACAATTAAAAAGGTCGCTTAAAGAAAATCCACAAAAATATCAAAACATTATCAGAATTCAAATTGTAAAGGCTACCAAAGGCTGGTAAAACTCTCAAAAGAGGTAAACTACACAATCACATGGGGGACCGCGTACAAGAGACACACGTGCTTTTAGAGCAAAATATGCTAAGATGGTCCTGCATGGAACATCTCAGGGATAGCCGTCTTACCTAGCAGTTCTACCTAGGATGAAGAAATCACGTGTGACCTAACGCAATGACTAGAGTTGTAAACATAAAAACAAATCATAATTAAAATTAGACAAACAAAAGAAAATAATGAGGCAGAAATCAATCAATAATCGATCACTCAAGGGGTATGACGAAGCTGAAGCGGGTCTGGTGGTGAAACCACAGGGTCCATCACCGGAGATCACACAACAAAGCAAGAATTGAACGGTAGTATAGTGCTGAGCCTCAGATTTGGAAATAAAACCAGCGAGCTGAAGACAACTTCTTAAATTAAAGGCACAGTTCACGATAATTTTGGGATCTCGTGTTTTCGACGATCAAAGGGAGTGGTAGTTCGGGAACAATGCAAAGAGGGCATGGGAAGAGTGCGATGACCGGCGTAATATAAAGCTTTAGGAGTAGTAAATTAGAGGTAAGACGAAAATGTGACGACAAAAGCTGCATGGAAAGGGTACTTGGACGAGCTGTCCTAGTCTGTGTGCCACTGCGTACATCTGGCTACAGTAAGCTGCCTGCATGCAACGTGTGCGTCCTGGTGCGAATAGTGCAACTTCTACAGCCTCCACAACGTAAGTACGGACGCCTTTGAGTGAGCACGTCGGCTAAGTCGGTTTTGGGGTACTTCTACGCCCTATATAGGTCCTTTTTCGAATCAACAGCGTCCCCTGTGGCCTAGGTAGGGCGTAGCAAGAACCCAAGTCCTAGGAGTTCATCCTGGGGAAGAATCTCAGAAACCGATGTCATCGTGAACTGCGCCTTCAATGGGTCGACAACTAAAGGGCTTCACATGTCGTTTACGCTTTCGCTGGCATCTTGCTTTTAACTACAATGTGACCTCGGATCCATTCGTCGGAATCGATGTTTTCGGCATTCATTTTTCGCAGTAGTTCGTCTTCTTCTTTCATACTTGCAATACGCGTTCGGATCTAAATAATTTGGTAGGCACGTGAAGTTAACAAGCAACCAGGACTACACCTCACCTCGTTCGGGTAGTATCCTTTGAATATGGCTTCATCGGCGCACCACTCCATTGCGACGTAAGTATGAAGCAGTAACTAAAAGTGATAATGGGAGCATTTCCTGACGGCTATAATAAATAACAACAAAAAAGTAGTATTAGTAAAGAGACAGGACCTGTCCCACATGCGCCTATTAATTCACCTTGGGAGAACGTAAGGAGGCCACCATCGGCAACCTTCAGTAGATAGCTCCTGCATTCATTTTCTAGCCTACAGTAATTACAAGACATGGTCTACTAAATAAAATACTACAAATTGTGGAAAAGAGGGTCGGGTACAGGTGTGACCGCTTAATTTTAATCAATGTTGCCTCAAAATCATGGATGGCCATGGTGGGATGCAGAAGCAAATACGTGCTGCGCAAAGCGAGAACTCTAGTCAAAGCATATTTTCATCTACCCGAAAAGGTTTGCCGTCAATCTCAGAATCTTCAAGGTAAAAATCCAGCAAACAGTGTGTGAGAGGAAAGAAACTCACCAGTGGAAAGCGTGACGTGAAGTAATACAGGAACTCTTCGGGAATTTTGCCCAGAGATGTACGAACTTCTTCGGGTAGCTCCCGATAATGATGTTTTTTGTTACGCATGGCGCGTAAAAGATCTCTCACCGAGTGCCCCTTATATGTTCGGAACTTCCTTAGGTCTAAAAGACTACTTAATGAGCATATTCTGAAATTCGCGTTGAAAAGGATAACCAACCGGCAGCCAGTGGTCCACAGATGTTGTTGCGCCAATTTCCCTCAACAACGGTGCGAGCATTCCTTTCTAACCGACGTACAACCGTACTCGAATCGTCTTCCTTTTCTATTCGATCAGATACATCCTTAAAACAACTATTACGAAACGTTTTCATGCACAAGACAGTCTTCTCACGGGTTAGAGTCAGCTTGGTCTTAGGATGAAAAAGTTCCCCCACATATTCATTGGCGCCATGTAATTTACTGCCGACCAATCATTTACATCAAACCAGGTAGGCTTGAAGGAACCACAAATCACGCAGTAATTCATACATCCATTTGAAGGCCCAGTTCCCGATAATTTTGAGGTACCCATATTTAGTGAAAAAACGGAAGTATAGGCTGGGATTAGTTCGTTTATAATGAAGAAAACAAGAAAATACGCAGGTTTCGGGAAAAGTAAGGCTCCTTAAAGATAAGGATGATAGAGTTGGACGAGATTAGCATGATGGAAATAACATGGGAGAGGTGTTTGGACTAGATTTCAGTTGTTGCAATTGTGCAAAGAGCTGACTATATCACAACTGTGCAGAAACGCCTATAGTTACCGTGGTCCTGAGGCCCTTGTGATCGGTGCAGCCTTTACAATACCGGTGAAACTCTTCCGAGGATACACGCGATACGACCTTCGAGCCTTTATAAGCCCCTAACTAGGCCGTTTTCCGACCTCATAGCACCAGATATTGGTATACTAGTGGGCCTCAGATTCATCCTATGAGGAAATTTCAGGGACCATTTTATCGTGAACTGTGCCTTGGTGTGGTAGCCTGGACCCGAACGGCTCACCGAGCTCGCTACACCGCCCGCATGTCGGAGCGCACAGTGAAGGCAAGATTTCAGTTCCCAAAGGAGGATTATGGTAAGTGCCACATCATTGCCCGCGACTGTAGGAATTCGGGTACAAAGTGCGGTACTGAACTTGGAGAACTAGAACTTGTAGAGTAGAGCGTGGAGAACTTTGATTCTGCTTTCATATATAATTGCAAACAAAACATGATGTCCCTTCCAACGAATAGCGAAGCAAAAGTACTCACTCCGAAAAACTGCAACCGCCTTTCAGGTTCCCAAAAGAATGGATGAGCCAGAACACATTGAATAGATGGTCGTTCTGTCGGTACTTTTTGGATCATTGATTCGATCAAGGAAACGCTAACGTTCACATCTGAAAATCGTGGTATTTCCAACAACAGAGACTATCAATTCAAGTGACTTACCTTCTTTAATTTCACGAAGCACATAGTCTCCATTGATTATATTTGTTTGCCTATGCAAACTATCGCCAAATGGATGATTACCGTCGGACAAAACGTAGTAGAAAATGCATCCAAGGGAAAACACATCAACAGGAAAACTCTGCAACCGAATGATGCTTGAGTAACACCCAAGTCAGGGCTTTGACGTTAATCTATCGGGGAACTCACCGTGCTCTGAGATGTGAGAGCCTCAGGAGCAATCCAACCGTCCGTCCCCGCAAGTCCGCTCCTTTTCGACAAAGACTGGCGACCCGGTTGAACACGCTTGCAGAGGCCAAAATCGGAAATGACCGCCCGTACGCCTCGTGTACCCGCAGTGGACAGTAGCACGTTTTGAGGTTTCATATCTCTGTGTACTGGAAAAATGGAACATCAACATAATGTAGAGCACGATACCAAAAGGTAATTGCATTGTGGATAAAACGATTTCTGAACTTCCTGCTAGCCCCTGTATCTTCCCATCCATTTACCCACACGAGCTTGAGCTTGCAATGCTGACCTCCCTCTTCAGAACGTAGGCCTATTCTTCTCTTGGGGCTCGACGCTACCCATTCCCACTGAGATGTGAGTGAGTAGGATGGAGTCTCGAGAAAGAAGTGGGATTGCACTCTGATGAGGGACCTTTAGGAAAGTTTCCGGAGCACATCAGTTATCGACGAATTCCCACCCGCAACACTTGCACACCGGCTAGAAGTTCAGCACTATTATAAGCTTTTCGTTTGTTACCCATTAATTTCAAAAACTTCGAAGATGTAACAAACGGCGCACATTGCTTGTGTCGCATGAGGTTCGGACGGGGGAAAAAGAAAAACCGGCAAAGTTCGTATGCACCTTCGATGTGTAAACGTGATTTATCTTCCACCAAAAAAATGGATGCTCGCAAAAAAGCCCGAAACGATTCATCATAGCTATGAATGCTTTGGATGTAAAAGTGGGAATTTTAGTGATACTGAAGCCAGCTGCAGACGAAATTGCTTTTGTTTATCAACCAGATGTAGCTCGAGTAATCGGTCAAGCAAGAATGCCAGGTATAAACGATGGGTGGGCGAGCATAGAGTTCCAAAATACAGCAGAGCGCTTAGGGCCACTCAGTTATGAACACCGGTTCCATTCCCCCATCGATAAGTACCAATAAACTAAGAGTCAAGTATACGTCGTAAAGGCAAAGGTGATATATCACTCAATGGGAGGACGGGTCAAAAACGCCCACACTGCAAGAAACTCGAACATCTGAGGACAGATACATGGTAGAGGGTTTTTTCGTTCCCCCAGCATCATTTTGTTAACGGGCGAAGATTTTGAAAGAATCAGGAAACCTATACTCTGAAAAGCCAAGGCTCATCACAAATCACTAATCAAGTAGCAGTCTTTTAGCAATTACGAAAATGCACAGGGCCTTTCCAGGGTGTTATTACCATCGAATGAGAAATATGAAATCGAATTTTGCAAGCAAGAAAATCGGCGGCTTTTAAAAAGTGCAGAGCTTTAGAAAAAAAAGTGAAAAGAAGGTAGTACGAGATTATGTATCTGTAACCGTCTGGATGTCTCTCACATAAGCGTGCTATCCGACAGCGTGCTACCGCTTCATTGTGAGAGATACCGGCTGCCATAGCACGGCCACTTCTGGGTGTGTACGTCGGCCAAGCCGGTGTTGGAACCCTTTTAACGTACTGACAAAGTCGTTTCGCGACCCTACAATAACCCAAATGCTATCCTGGAGGGTACAGGATAGCATTTGGGATATTGTAGGGTCACAGGTTCATCCTGGGGGATATATCACGAGCCATTTTTGTTGTGAACTATGCCTTTGAAGGGAAGAATTTTCCGTGCCAAAGGCAGTGATTGTCGTTTCCATTCAAAAACTGACAGAAGCAGTTCTGCCTTCCCCTGCAGGGCTAACTCTGTGTAGAAAAGGTGTTTTGTGTTTGAATAGAAAAAGTCGGATTAAGGAAAATGAGCGTGGAATGGAAAATAACTTCAAACCGGCACAGTTTCCAGATAGCCTCATATACAGCTCCTACTTCCCATACGACCCATTACACCTATCACCTAACACAAATCTAATGTTCGCAAATCTTGGAAAGGCTCCACGATGTTCACGTAATAATGCACTAATAGTCAGACAGGCGCCATTAAATCGATACCGTAGCGCTCCCAGTGGATTCGATTTTGAAGCCCATTCGGGTTGTCATACCTTCTGAAAGAACTATGTAGATAAGCAAAATTCCAAATCATACCTATCTGCATGATATGTAAATGAGCAAGACCCTCTGTTGCTTGATGGAGTAGCTCAGTAGGATCGATAGCAATCTGCAAAATGAGAGAAACCACCGTACTGGTAACAGACGACGTGACTATCAAAATGTTTTTACCTTTTCCCGGACAGCACTTTCATGAACATAATCGTTTAACGATGCTACACATAATTCCAGAGCCAGATATCGGAATTGACTATCAGATTCCTGAAAGTCAAAAGTCTTTAGAAAATCAGACTTCAGAATCCGTTCCACAGCCAATCCCGAGATCTGCAAAAGCCTGGGAATGTCTGGGAACGAAGCTCATCGTTAGATACTGTTTAGACGATTATGAACGGAAAGCCTGAGCGGACCGGCTCCATACCATGCAAAAATATCGAATAACGTTAGGATGAGCATCGCTTTCCCGTAGTAAATCAGCTTCTCGATCGACGAGTCGTACAAACTCGGAGACCACTCGTTTCACAGCTACATCTCGGCCATCAAATTTTCCTCTGAAAAATACACATCATTGAGACTGCCTACCACACAAGAGGAATTCCCGTTTCTTAAATGAAGTGTAATGTGATAGGGTTGCTCACCTATAGACGACGGTTCCTTCACAACCACGGCCTAGGATCTCTGAAGGATTATAAAGTAGTTTTCCGACTTTCATCCAGCCATCTTCTACCTGAAATCAGAGTTTTAGTCAAATAAGGTAGTCAGTATCGCTGAAAAGAATAACATCAGTACTGCTACTCCATAGGTCATGCATATTACCGATCGCACTTTGCTGAGCCGTAAAAGATAGGTCGAACATTTCCTTGCGTTCGAAGGTCCGAAATGGGTGAATCGCGACTCAGCCTTTTGGAAGCAAGGAACAGAAATAGATGGAGCCGAATGTGGTTACTCCTTAGTTGTGATGAGTTCTGTATTACTCTTAAAAGAATTTGGCTTTCACAGCCTTCACGGATTTCGCTCTTCAGCGAGTTATTTATGGGGCTTATCCTTCACTACATGAGAAGTTCTATCAGCCTCTACAAAAGTTCCACCACTACCGTGCTAGAGCCAAACTCCTCTAAAAAATTTTGGCACCACTATACCCCTCATCCCCCTCAACGTATTGAACGAACGTCTCTCCATCGCTGTCGACGACATTCATCGGCTATTTCTAGCAGCCACCTGACAAATAGGAGGAGCGAGTGCTGAATAAGATGGCTACTAAGGTGGCGAATTCACCGCAGGGCGGCTGGATTTTGCTTTGAAGCTCGGAGTAAAGCACAGTCATAAGGTGGTAGGACAGTAGTATTCCCCAGCCATGTTCTCGGACCGACGTGTCACGTTTCATTCCACAAAAAAGTTATGAGATCTATGCAGTTGGCAGTTCTCCTGTTACCACCCTCTGACTCTCCTGTGTATAATTGTCTTTACGATCTGGTGCCAGTTTCTGATTGCTACTCCGATTGGCACGTTCCTTCTTCCTTCCTTCATTACTTCAGCACGAAAAATAGCAAATATTTAGCAGTACAGCTACGACAGCCCTGATTGCTGCGGTATCAGAAACATCCTGACCCTCGAAATTATTCGAAGACCCTCGAAAGACTTGTAACCAGACTCGAAGGGATGGTGCTTACGAATGACTCCAGGATGGAGCACTGCATCTCTTTTGAACTGAGCCGATGCACCATGTGCTATCACTTTGCCAACATCCCTTTGTAAAAATAATGAATAAAAACGCTAACGTAGTTAGACGAATGGAATCAATGCTTATTTTTGAACCAAAACACTTTTTGAGCTGCTGCGAATGGTATGTCGGCACAGCCTCTCAAAAGGTACAGTAAGGTGCCGTCATAAAACAAATTGTTTGAAAACACATTCTGCGAAAATTGGATTCTGCAACATTGAACACCAGGTGGAGAAGAAAACGGCCGGTGACGTAAACGAATCAAAGGCTTAGAAAAGAAACAGCCAAGACCAGGTCGCCCGTTCAAAATGCGTTTACAAGCAACTCTGCCTCAAAATGGATTGCTGTCTCACATGTGCTGAATCCTTTACCGACCTGCTCTGTACTATCATCCCTAGTGCTTCAATCGTCAGGGAGCAAGCAAAAAAGCAGTTTCAGCAGCTCGGACCTTCGCAAACTAGATGCCAGACGGAACCTTATACAAAAAGTTGTACACAGACTTTCCTGGCAACTTTCGGGCCACTTATCCCATATTTCACTACCGCGAGACAGCTTGTGAGCCTTCGCCATTTTCACTCGCTGCACAACTTCATTTGAAAATGAGGCTTCCTTTCACCGTAATCACCAGACGGATCCTTCCAGCGTAATCTGCCGTTGGACTTGAAGAAACAAAAGATTTAAAGAGTTTTAAATACCACACATGAAAAAAAGCACTACTGACGATGTCGTAACATTCACCATCGCAAAGCAATGTCATTTTATGATCGATCGTCATTTTATGATGGATAATGTTTTCTCTCGTCATCCGATAGCATCGGATCTTAAGTTACTATTCCGAGGTACCCGAACAAACATTATGGCAGAAAAATGACTAAAGGATTTCGCCATATGAAATGACAGGCCTTCCTTTTGTTCAGTTTCAAGACTAATTCAAATCCACTTCACATCAGTGCCAACTAAGGACTTGAGTACCCCAATTTTTGGAGTTTGGGACCTTGGGATGTAATCTCAGGTGCACAAGTTTTTCCCAGAGCTTGGTAATTTTTCTAGAAACGAGGAACCGTAGGTGAGCACATGACATCGACTTCCGGCAGTGTTGCAATGGTGCGTATATTCCCACAATCAACTCCTCCCTTTCATTGCTTCCCTCCCGGACCTTCTTTTCAGGATTTCAGCCGAATATACGAAAACCTTGACAAGTTCATACACCAGAGCAAAGCCATTCGTCCAGACTTCATAACTTGTTATCGAGAAACCAGCACCTGGGTGCCAGTGTCACCTGATTCCAGTGTGCTAACATTTTAAGTACAGAGGTGATAATCGTGAAAGTATGGATCACGGGCAAAAGGCAGGGGCGTTTGGAGGAATAGACCCCGACTCACGGAGGAATGCATGTCAACTAAGAACTCATGCTAGGGTAGATGGGATTGCGCCAATGACGGAGACTGTGGCTTTGGAAGGACCACAGCTAATGTCGACTGGACTCCGCAACAATCTAACACTTATACGATTCTGAACGCTACCATTGACAAGCCGAAAAGTGGTAGATCCCGGGCTCATCAAGGAGACCTCTTCAACAGGTGGATAACTCAGTCCTGGAGACAAGTTTGGCAAGCCAAAAAAGTTTCGAACTCGATCCTTGGTGTGTTCTACCGTCATATTCTTCAGGTGGTCGATGTCGCAGAGAACAAGGGCACTAGGAACTTCCACCACTCATATGATTTCTCCCGACTCAGGTGACCCTGCCTTTCGACCGCTACGATGCATGGGAAGTTTGAGTTCGTCCAAGTGACAATGACAATGACATGGGAAACAACACGAATTCTTATAATCAAGTTAACAATGGCTGTCGAAACAGGTGACATCGCTGTGATGCGATATAACCACGCGAGAACCCACTTGAACATCCGCTTTTTTTTCGTTGCTGACTGTACATCATAGATCAACTCTTTAAATGAGAACCCCGAATCAAATTTTATCAGGAAAATCTTCTATTTTCTTTGACGCAGTTGGCCAACTAGAATCTTCTTCCACACTTTCAGGCCCACAGCCACCATTTGAGCTACGGCCGGAATTTTATTCGATTTTTTTTAGTAATTGAACTTGCCGTTGTTAAATTTATGTCCGATAGAGTACACAAATCAGTGGTGATTTGCAATTTGTGAGGAAAAAATTGGACAAAAACGAGGTCCGATGGCATTTTTCACGTTTTTCGGTGAAAAAGGATTTCTTTCCTTCCAAACCGAACAAAAACAACCATGCATGTGATCCTTCATGGCCGGTCGCAACAAAACGATTACTTGTCACATCACAACCATATGAGAGGACACTAGTTGAGAGTCTACGTCAAAAAGTTGTACACTCTTCAATTCCAATGTCTCACATATCACTTAACTTCCAGATGTACTTCCAGATGTTCTAAGGTGATGCCTTTTTTAAAAGTCGGATTACAAATTTCAAAAATAACGATCGGGAATAAAATGCTGAATGGCTTTTCTGAGAACTTGACGCTTCTGTGGTACAGCGGAACGCTTTTAAATTTGGCATCGTCAAAGAATCCTTTTACTCCAACATAAATTTTCAACCAATAGGCGATATTGATCATTACTTTATCATGGTTTGATATCATCCCTATATAAAAGTGAGAGAGTTTGGGCTGAGGCTCATCCGTTAAGCGGAATGCCTTTGACAGCGCCATTACCGTCTTCTCTGCAGGGGTACCATTTATGGAATTCAGCATGAAAATTTCCAAAGGTCCCTCATAGGAATTCTGTCACAGCGACCCCGTCTGATGATTTAAAGATACGCCTGACTAGTACAACATCACTCACCTCTTCATTCCTAGTGAAAACCCAATTTGTTGCCGAATTTGACTGTCGTGATGTTTGAGCACTTCGAGCCTCACCGGTAACCAATGCAACACCAGACTAAAGCACTCAATCAATGCTGAAGACAAATAGCTGCTTACAAAAAATCCCTTAAGAAAGTTCATTATTCAACATCGCAATTTAATGCCACCATCTCATAAGATTGCCCTTAACATATGCTCCCAACATTGTCTCGGTTTTCTTGTTAGAGGGAATCAGTCAATAACAATCATGATGAAGATATGATCAAGGTAGCACTTATACAATCCTCTTCATCTCTCGTTGCCCATGGATTAGCCACTCTGGCTCGATAACAATTGTTCACCTCAGCAGTCAATTGGAAGAAGCGACAAGGCATAAATATTCGCTAAGTACCCCTTCATTGTGACATTAACGTATTGATAGGAAACAATCAAAGGCACAGTTCACGATAAAAATGGCTTCTGAGGTATCACCGTGGGATGAATCTGTGGCCCCCTCGTATACCATATGTGGCGCTGCCAGATCGGAAAACGGCTTGGAAAGGGCATTATAAAGGCTCGAGGATTGTCCCGTTGGTGTGCTCGGACGAGTTTCAACGGCATTGTAGAGGCTGCAGCATTCACAAGCGAACCCATGTAGGAAGTTCATGACCCTTAGCGACAGCGAAAGACAATTCCGTACGGTTTCGACTTGTTGTAGTCAGCTTTTTGTGCAATTGCAGTGACTGAAATCTCGTCCAAATACCCGTTCCATGTCATTTCCCCCATGGTAATCTCGTACAACCTCTAATCCCATTACTTTTGAGGAGCTTTAGTCAAAAAAATCGACGGATTTTTTCGATTCCTTCACCACGGATGCACTATTTCTATGCGATGCTTCCGCTTTTCGACTCAAAAAGCAGAGTACCTCAGAATTATCGTGAACTGTGCCTTCAAGCAGGTCTATACCGATGCTATAAACAATCATTTGTCTGTTCTGATTAATTTCGGGTTGGGAGAGTGAGGGCGTGGTCATAAACGGGCGAACAACATGTCAAGGTGATTCATTAAAAATCTCCCAAAGCACTTTTAATGAACTAAAAATTCTTTTGAATAGAAACATCGAAAAGATATCAACTTGGAACTTTAATTTCTTCAGGGAGTTTTAAGTGGCAGACATTTTACTGCACTTTCTTAAACCTAACAATTTCTTCATAGGTGAGCACTTCGAAAAATCGTCAATCGAAGCTGTGTAAGAGCTGTGAAAGGTGTCATAATATAGACGGACATGTGGTTGGGTTTGTGGTTCCACACTCTCATCATTCCACTCCAATCAGCTCTCTTGGCTCCCTTTTCAGAGAACTTGATTTCCTTTTCGTCTAAATTTCACCTTATTTTCTGAGACAACTCGAGTACCACCTATATAAGTAGCACACTCAACGCTAGACAGCCTCGTCATGCCTTTTCTACAAAAAATCCTCCTCTAAAACTTCCAAATTTTGCCAGGACCATGAAAAACCATCGTCTGGTTACCCCATCTGGGTAATAATCCCTATCACTCCCTTACAGCATCTGTACTACCCAAAATTTACCTCACAGCCTTTTCTTGAAAAATTTTCACTTTGAAATTTTCGAACGGTTTCTGTCTAACATTAAGGGTTTCGGAGAAAAATTCCAGGAAGCTATAACTTCTTAACCCATCCTTTTGATAAATAATATGATAAATTCGGGCCAATCAAAGAAGGTATCACTTAGAACGAGAGGGAATCACAATTTCTGAACTCTCAACGACTTTTTTATGCGAATTTCTAAAAAGACGAGTCCCAAATAACAGAGGGCAACGAAAAATGAAATCCTTGTCACTCAATCGTCTTTGTAACCCAGAGGACGAGATGCAACTCGATACTCATCGACTACACCACCACATGCACGTCACACTTTCTCCACTCACTTTGCCCTACCTATTCTTATGAGCCCCACTTCTGACCTTCCTCCAGACCGTTACTCTAACAATCTACATCGATTTTTTTTTAAATTATACTTTCTACTAATTTTCTAAGATTGTCATCAGTAGCCAGTGACTACAACCTAAGGTTTCTGTCACGATTTCATTTTGTTTTTGAACATCATCTATGAAACTGAACCAGTGGAAACATTACGAAATAACTTATGAATGGAAATTTCTCGAAACCAGCACTTAGGTTCCGTTCAATCGAAACTTCAAGGAGACGGTCCTACAGAATCGAAGATAGAGATACTGTAAGATCTACCGGCTCTGAACGATTCTTGAGTAATTACCTGTTTGCCGCACATCCAGACCACCGTAACAGCCAATGCCAGAAGGGTGAAAAGGGCCGAAAAGAATGCAACCGGATGGTGTATGTAGATCTCCAACAGCATTCCAACTAAGCTATTTTCCAACGTTTCCATTCGTGACAATGATACCTATCAAAAATCTTTTTGAAATCTGTGAAAAATCAAACAAAAATACTTCAAAAGTCCAAAGTCACCTGGTTTGAATCAGAATTGTCTGGCTTGTAGACTATATGAGGGAATGATGGTGTATTTGAGAAACGAATTGGTAAAATCGCTCCCAGATCGACCATAGGCCTTTCATGGTATCCTAAGAAAAAGAAATAACATGTCACTTTAAATCACTTACCAGTCATTGAAAACCGACTCTTTTCAAAAAGAAAATGAGCAACTGCACTTCAGCCGCTGTCTGAGTAGCAACCACCTTCGTAATATGAGAAACTTTATATATAGAGAGATAATGCTATTCTAGATAAGTAAGTGGGTAAGTTGGCTCAAGCCAGTTCTCAAATCACGTAAAGCCTTGTAGTACAAAGTTAATAAGTAACTCCAACAAATTGGTAGGATCCAAGTACTTAGTTATCACTGAAAACTGAAATTCCAGATCGAATCACATACCTAACAGCAGGAATTCCCCATCAGTTGTCTTGTGGGTGATTGCAGGCACATCAATGGTGATTATCGGTCTCGATGGAGGGATGAACTTTGCCTTTTCCTCTTCCTGAAATGACTCAATCAAACCATCACCACCGTGTTTCTCGCAAAGTAAGGTACTATCCAGACGTACCGATAGAGCTATAGGACTAGGTCCTTCAAGTAGCGGAGGGCCAAGATATTTTGGTGCATAAGTGATGGTGTGCTTGTCGACCAATACATCCATGGCGTACAGACCAAATGCCGATTCACCCACGTAAAGGGTTGCGAATAAAGCATTTTGAGGTGAAGTTGTTTTAGACGATGCCTCCATGTCCACAAGTAGGTCATTTTTACCACCAGGTGTTAATGCGCTCTGCAAAAAATTCATTTTTGACCACAGCTGTTGTGAATAGACGTAAAAGACGGATAGAATTTCCAGAAAGTACAAAATTTAGTTTAATAACTCAATAGTGAATGACGAAAAAATGACCTATGAAAATCGTAAAATCGCAGGTGGCCTATAAAAGTAAAAGACCACACCAACGTAGGGCATGTTTTTGCGTAACAAGGTGAGATAAGTAACAGCACGTTTGTTTTGTAACAGAGTGTAATAAGAGCAAGCAAATGGCTTTCATCGAAAATGTGCACCTGTAAGTTTGATAGTTGATGTGAAATGGTTTCGAGTCAATCATAAAATCCGACCGTTCACCCAATAAAATCTCGGTCATAGAAGGATACACCAACACCCAGCCAAATGCCTTTTTCCTGGACCTTTCTGTTTATATGCTTGTCATAGTCCGTCGACAGCAGGCGCCTCTCCCCTCGCTATCTGCCTGAGGACGCAACTGATTTGTGGCTTGCTCTCAACGTTGCACAGCTTCTTCCAATCAATATTGCCGTCGATATTTTGATTATACAAAATTTTTCGATATAATTAATTGGTTGCAGATACTCCACACAATCTTCATGCTCACCTAAGTTCAACTTACCAAACATTGTCACTATTCACGTTTTTGCATCGAATCCTGGCACCCAAGCACACGATTCCGTCGACCGAGTCGGAAGGTGTGCCTCGATGTTGTCAACTCACTGATACGGTTGAGTCACGCCTGCCCTCTCAACGTTTTCTACACGGTAGTTTTTACAAGCGATGGATGGCAACGGGGAGTCTTACCCGCCTCCTGCTCGAAACCTATCACAAGAGCAGTCTAGTGTCGACACTCACAAATCTTCCTTTGCTGGAACCCGACAGCCGTCCGAAGACAGCAAAAATATCAGATTCGCGGATAAAGATCTCATTGGACTACGGCCATCAGACAGTAATCACCATAAGAAGTGGCAGAATGTGCGACGAAGGATGTCTCTCAAACCCGCAATAGGTATGTTACCAGGGTGATTGCTCCTATTTGAGGGAACTCAGGCGTAACCCTGACCGTTCGTTTTGATAGTACAGGATTAACAGCTGATCAGTTGATGACCTCAAGTGCATGTGTCACTATTGTTCATCGATTAGTTTACCTGATATAAGATTTCCTGCCTGTTTACATCCCAAGGGTGTTGATCGCTAGCTTACTGGCACTACTAGCTCTTCGCAGTTCTTCTATCTGTACCATTCGCTAATGCCCCACCTTACCCTACTAATATGAAAGAACCACAAGAAACTCATCGTAGGTCCACCTTTCAACAATATGCAGGCAAGGTCCACTCAGANGTGGCAGAATGTGCGACGAAGGATGTCTCTCAAACCCGCAATAGGTATGTTACCAGGGTGATTGCTCCTATTTGAGGGAACTCTGGCGTAATCCTGACCGTTCGTTTTGATAGTGCAGGATTAACAGCTGATCAGATGATGACCTCAAGTGCATGTGTCACTATTGTTCATCGATTAGTTTACCTGATATAAGATTTCCTGCCTGTTTACATCCCAAGGGTGTTGATCGCTAGCTTACTGGCACTACTAGCTCTTCGCAGTTCTTCTATGTGTTCCATTCGCTAATGCCCCACCTTACCCTACTAATATGAAAGAACCACAAGAAACTCATCGTAGGTCCACTTTTCAACAATATGCAGGCAAGGTCCACTCAGAAATTCCTTCATTTCTTTCTAGAACTTTATAAAGCCACCAGAGTAATGTCCATTATTTCAGGCCTCACTAAAATACGGGTACCAGGCCATTTGAATTATAAAGAGATCCGGGCACGATTCGAACGTCAAAGCACATTTCATGGAATAAGCCATGCTGCCCTTGCTCCTAATAATAGATGGCGATGTTTTTGGTACACGGCTTTTTGGCTGTGCTTCTTCTGTTTGGCTATTCAAATATTCTTTCTTGTTGTAAAATATCTCCAATATGCAAAGACTGTTGATCTCGATGTAAGTTACCAATTTTTCAAATTTCTTTTTTTTTTCTTAACTCTCAATTTTGATTTACTAGTTTTCTTTTTTACTTTTCGTTTTATATTTATGGCGATGAGCTGCATTTCCGGGCAGCGATCAAGTTTAAAAAGCATTTTCATAAAATATTGGATTGTTTTGCAAGGTGCATTTCTCTTCGGAATGTTCATCGATTGTCATATCGCACGTCATACTTTAAACAGCTTGTATTTGAGACTCTTTGTGAAAACCCTAACCCTAACACTCATAAACTCATAAACTTAGTGTCACCCGCTAGCATATGAGAAAAAACCCGAATGGTATAAAATGCTTGAAACCAATTAGTTCCTCCCGGACTCCCAATGAACTCTCCATAGCATTCGATTATTCATTAATTTACTCATTAGCTTTATCTCGGCCAACAAAGAGCCTTTCCATTCCTCTCTGAGTGGGTAAGGGACCAGGGAGAGGAGTATGGGAGAGGGGTAGGCCTGGCTGACTTTTGCAGATTACGTTAGGAATTGGCCTACTACATAAGTGTGGCAACCACTACCCACTGCCCCATCATAATATCAGTTTGATAAATAATTTACCTACTTACTTCTTGTCCCCAGCAAGTTTAATTGTTGTATGGTTCAGGGCGGATATGGTGCAAAGTGATACATAGTATCAGGATCGGATCTTAGATCGATACCCGCTTGGACTTTAATATCTTCCTACAAAGGGGATTAATCATCAGTGCCTACAGTATTGTGGTTTACTGGTCACACTGGGTGTGGTTTTTTTCCTAAACTTCAGAATTTGATCCGATAAATCACCCCATAAGTTTATTGACTATTCAAGAACGCTGAGGTGTGTCACCTTGGCCGGTTTAAAACGCCCCCGAAAAATTTGCCGGCAGAAAGGTTTAGAAAGAAAGGTATGACGTTAATCCTTCATATTACGGGTTTGATTTATTGTCTGAATATACTGTAGAAAGATTGGGCAAACCTTTTAGTTTGTTTGGAAAAACTCGCGCAGTTGCTCCCCGGAATATTGACGGAAACCTTTTTCTTATTTGAGCCTTTAATAGGGTTGGATGATGTAGTGCTTGTGGGCAGAGTTCATGCTAATTTGAGGTTATCTATTCTTGGATGGATGATGGATATGACAGTCCAGAATAGTACTGAAGAAAAGGGGAGAGAAAACGCGAAAGCGTGTTTAGGGAAATAGGATCTAGAAAAGCCTAAAGGTTCGAATTTATAGGAATGCCTGCGTGCAAGGCGTAGGTCCCGATGGGAACGATGCAATCTCTACAGCTTTTAAATCGCTTAACAAGTCGTCCATCTTGGGTGTGTACATCGGCTGATCCAGAAACCATTAAATCCCCACCGTCATGATTATTAACTTAATTTTTTCATCAATTTTAACCTCAAAACATCTCAAATCACAATGACGAACCCACTAGCACGAGGTACATAGTCGGGTCCATGGCGTATGGGATTATGATCTGGTCAAAACTGCAAAAAGAGGCTGTCAGAGACAAATCATTTACTATTTACTATTTGTTAATCAGCACTTTGATACAACTGCTTTTGAGTTACAATTTGACATTCCTCAGTATTGCGATTCTAACATTGTCAATCCCTTACCTCCATTAACTGCTTTAATCTCTTATTAGCTTTTTGTCATAATTTCTTCTTTTTATTGAAGTTACATTTTCGAAATTATGTAAAAAAAAAANTGAGGTATCTAACTTGAGTGAGATCATGGAAGATAAACACCGAATAGTTCAAAAATGGTGGAAGAGCAAAAATTAAAAATTAAGAAATGTAAGGTGTAGGAAAGTGGGTTGTACGAGTCGCCGTCTGTAACCGTCTGGCTGCTCTCACATGAGCGTCATTCGCCGCGTCCTAATGCTTAAATGTGAAGGGCGCAACCTTAACAAGACCGTCATAACTCGGCCACTTTTGGGTGTGTACGTTGGCCAAGTAGGTTTTGGGGCGCTTATAACGCCCTGCCAAAATCGTTTTTCGACCCAAAATGTCCCAAGTACTATCTTCGGGTGCCACAAAATAATCCTGCAAGGAAATCTCAAAATCCCTCGAAAATCTTGTGGTGAATTGTGGTTTTGAAGTGCAGTAGGTCTTCACAACCCATATGCCATTTGAACTTATTGCCATTTCTTATTAATTTATCAAAATCGAGTATTTCAGTTGAAATTTGAAAACGCACCATTCCCTTCTATCACATTGTGCAATTTGAATCCGTACAAAAAAAGTGCCATAAATCTTAATCCGGAGACAAAAGCGATGGTGAGCCTTTTCGATGCAATAAACCTCCCATCACATTGATTGATGATCAGCGAGCCAAGTTCTTATGATTCTATTCATTTTCTAGATCGACGCTTATTCCAAGCGAATATCATCAGGTGACAAATCAGAAGGCATTGCCGCCGCTTTAGCCTCCCACTTTCATCCAAGAGGTGAGACATGCTTGTACTTTTTTTCACGAAATTCCTTCTTTGATTGCTTACAGTTTATGTTACTCAGTGGCTTCCTTTATGGTTTCGGTTTTTCCACTGTTTTTTTTTTCGACTCGATTCGGTATCAAAATATCCGATTTGATTGATGTGTAGGAACATCTCGGTCGTTTCATAAGTTCGAGGGTATTCCTTACACAGAAAGCCGCTTCGATGACACCATCGACGTACACACCAATCCGCATTATGAGAAGCATTGATGCAGCTCTGGCATGTAAATGGAGTTGCCGTTTCNATGTGACGGTAGCATGTATTCCAAAGTCGAGATCGCCTCCGAATGATTCGTGCGCTGCGCTTGAAAGAATCTGATTTGAACACTGATTCTGTCTGTTCTCTCTTGCCCAAGCCATATATTCGCTGCGTCTCTGTTCCCCCTGCAACTCATCCACCGCCAAAATCAACCACAAGGACTTTATTTTCTGTGGAATCCCGACCGATTGAGGTTTCATCGACACGAACTCTGCCAATACCTTTCAAGTTCACGAGTAGCACCAAATCGTTCCTTACTCCGCCAACCAACTTAACATTAATAATGTTGCTCTCCCATTAGCTTTATGCGTAGCTAACGAATTACAGTGAGCAGTATCATTCCTTCGTGTTGAGTGGCAGTAATACTTTGAAAACAACAAACTCAATCGATAAACAGGCTAGGTGTTGAGAAGAGACAAACTATAAGCCACCTTGAGTATCTTATTTCAACACCAAGGTATTTGTCGAAACGTACGACCTAAGAAAAGACACTCACATACGTTTCGTACACTGATGCGGGACAGCCGCACTCCACAAAAAAGCATGCCGATGAGGTGGCATCCCGTCAGCGATGACGTAACATGTGTTCCAAGTTTTCGCTACTTGTTTTATGTACCAGAATTTTGATGTTTTCAGCTCGGAGACATAAACGAAAACCAAAACGCCGAAAACGTGATCGACGTTATCATCAAGCGCTAGCTCAGTGCTTATGTGATATTGATCCACTGACAGCTGAACGGAAAGGCTCATGCTTCGCAGCCTACAAGGGGAAAGTCGCAGTTGATATCTCACTTTCACCGAGAAACCTTCATGCCTCCAGATGCCTATGTCAACTTGATATGGTCTCCAAAACTCTGTGGCCATGTTTTCCGTGTAAGAACACTGAGAAACTCACCAAATAGGGGTCCGCATCACTAATATCCTTAATTTAGATAACACATGGAAAGAAAAAATCTGCACGGAGTGTGTTGATGACAGTGGCCACTGTCCGATGCGATTTTATCGTGGAAAAGAACCGTTTGAGAATATCAAGACGATGGCCGATCTGTGCCTTTGCCACAAGGAATATAACCATTGTGTTTCGAGTCGAGAAGANGGTGTGATCATTGAGATCGATCCAAATGACGAACTCGAAACGTTGAATGTCACCGAACGTTCGGAATCACAACTGAAGGTGAAGCAGAGAATTACTACCACAACAACTACAGAAGCACCTCATGTGACACAAGCGCTTGGATTCGAGGTAAGAGATCGAACAAATCATCCTCTATGGGAATCCTTCCATCCGATGTCGACGTTGTTTCAGAATCTGACCGATGAAATCGCTATCGTGACCCAGGCTCAACAGAATTTGATGTTTGCTGTTGGAGCCATGACACCGGAACAAAAAGAAAGCATGTCTCATCCGATTGATGAATTTGTTCTCAAATGTTCCTTCAACCAGAAGGATTGCAATATGAAAAAGTAAGTGAAATTATCAACTTCTGTCTGTTGAATTTGTCAAGAAAGGAATATAAACTCAATTAAATGATGGTCAACCATAATTAATTGAGTTTCTATTGCTTTCGTTTGCCGTACTGTTTCTCGAAATTGTTGTTTTGCAAATTTTCATCGATGCATTGAACTTTTGGAAAATTTTCCATGATTTTTCTTCAATTTATATTTGCTGCGTGTCCTAGCTCCTTCAAACCTTTCCAGCTGAGGGCTGAATCGTTTTATCCTTTCTCTGTCTTCCCATCGAAGTTGCCTCTGGCCCGGAAATTCGTACCATCTGGTCAAACCACCAATAAACCCATTGCCCGAATGACAACTTGACTTTCGTAGTTTCGTTTTTTCCATTACATTTTGCTCGTCCACTTGATCACTTTTCTCTCAAATCGCTTGTACTAGTCGGTCGTTCACGTGTTTCACTTGTCTCTCTCAGTGGCGCAACTCGTCCATCATAGAAAATCGAGCAACATCGTTTTTCAATACTCGTTTATCCGAGTGATCGTTTCGTGACATTTCATCGCCCTTCGCTTTTCATACTATTTCTGTATGCCATCAAATACCCTGTTTCTTCCATTCTGCCAAAAATAATAAGAGAAGTCAGAAGTTATCGAAATTCCGGGAATCAGAACTTTTTTTTCGATTGTTGTTTTTAGCTAAACTGACACCCTTTTTATCGATCCCAGGGACGGCATTCTACCAATTTGCGTTCACTTTTCACCCGCGCCAATTTGATGCTAATCACACCCCAGCTCAAAAAGGGAAACAGTAGTGCGTCATAGATCCCCAATTC